GATAGGACGTGGGGCAATGCTTTCAAACTGAAAGAAGGTAGATTTAGGTCAGATATTAGGAAGAAATTCTTTTCTGTGTGGGTGGTGAGACACTGGAACAGGTTGCCCAGAGAACCTGTGGATGCCCCCTCCCTGGAAGTGTTCAAGGCCAGGTTAATGGGGCTTTGAGTAACCTGGTCAAGTAGAAGGTGACCCTGCCCATGGCAGGGGGTTTGGAACTATATGATCTTTAAGGTCCCTTCCAACCCAAACCATCCTGATTCCGTGAGATGATCTTCCCCCTCTCCTCAGCACTAGTGAGGCCACACCTGCAGTACTGAGTCCAGTTCTGGGATAACCAGTACAAAAGAGACATGGACATACTGGAGGAAGTCCAGCAAAAGACCACAAAGATAATGAAGGTTATCGAGTACCTCACATATGAGGAAAGGCTGAGCAAGCTGGGACTGTTCAGCCTAGACAAGAGAAAGCTCAGGAGGGATCTTATCAATGTGTATAAATACCTGAAGGGAGGGTGCAAAGAGGACAGAGCTAGGCTTTTTTTCAGTGGTACACAGTGACGGAACAAGAGGCAATGGGCACAGACTTAAACACAGGAGTTTCCATCTTGAACATCAGGAAACTTCTTCCACTGTGAAGGTGTGAACACAGATGGGGAAACAAAAGTTAAAGCACCAAGCTCAGACTAACTGATGTAGCAGATGTAGTTTCAGCTTTGAAAATTACTTCACTAGAGTCTAAAATTTAAAGATTATTGGGAAAAAAAATCATCCCCTATTAAAAAAAAAAAAAAAATCAGCAGTTGCACTTCGAAGCATTTTGCCACAAACAGTTATTTCCTCTGAACTATGAATGTGCTCAAAATATTTGCCTAAAAGCAGATACATATTATCAACACAGGCAATTGAAAGATGATGGAATATACTACAACTGCAACATAGGAAGACTCTTAACTTTAAGCAATTACTTCCACAAAAGAAGTTGCTTCCAGTCAGGAACTACACCTAAAATAACAATGTAATAAATTCTAGGCTTTTAATCTTGTATCATCATCATCACAAGCTGACTTATTTGGAATACCACCTGGTCAGGATATAATTTATCAAGTTGTCATATAAATGTGTCACTACTCAATGCAATTGTGTAACATATTCAAACATGTACATACAGATAATTTAAATTGATAACATTCAGCACATACTTAGAATTCCTGTGATGTGAGTAGTACAGAGAAGACGTAAAGCCGATTTACAAAATGGAGAAATATTAATTTCCAATATATGAAAAAACTAAACTATACTCACAGGGCCAACAGAGGTGAGGGGATATGTGCTGTGCTTACAAAATACTTAACAGTACTTCCCTCTGCAAAGCTTCCCATCTGTAACCCAAATTCCTGAGCCCAGCACTTCCCAGTGCTTTGTCTACAGTATTTTGCTAATATTTGCAGAGAACAACCAGTAAAGATAGGAGAACATTTGCAACTGAGCTAGTAGCTAGACTTTGCTTCAGGTATCTGCCAGGTACAAACAGTTATCATGGAAGTTGTGATGCTGTTGTGACACAGGACTTTTAACTAATCCACCTCTGCCACTGAACTAGGAGGCAAAGAAGTTACTGAACATATGACAAATTGTCTCCTTAAAAACAAGCAGTCTGACTTGCGATGGCATCAGATTTTATTTTTTTTTTGAAGTTTTTTTTATATGTGGCTGCTCCAAACCACATGCAATGGAGCTGAGGCCACAACTTTGGGTCACAAGCACAAGGCTTCCCAAGTGACTCTATGGCTCCCCAAACAAGCACCCTCTCAAAGACTCACATCCTGTTCTGCAAGAGCATGCCAACCCAAGAAATTTGGTGCCAATCATGAGACCAGCAGTGTACTCTGCCCCAGAGCAGGGCTAGGCACACCTGCAAACCTGCCACATCAGAAGGGAGGCGAGTTTGATAACCCAGAGGACAGGGCACCACCACTTCATGTGCCAGCCTTGCACATGCTCTGCCTGCCCTGAGGCACTAAAAAGGGTCAGGCCACCCAGTGAAGCATGGTGGAGAAGAAGTGACTGCTCCATATGCATTCAGACAGGAGCTAGTCCCCTGACCAAAGGTCCTTCCAGGGGCTGACATAGCCCCAGCCCTACTACCTAGTCTATGTAGTCAGGAACAGGAGCACGACACTTACTTTTTCTTTCATGGCAGAGGGGACAGAGGTTGCCAGCTGCTTAGAGGCCTTGTTGAGCTTCTTGCCTGCACCATCGCTGCCACCACCACTCTCGACCTTGATAAGCCGGTGCTTTGGGGAGATGTACTTCACATCGGGCAGCGGTGCCGGATCATGCTCACTGTGGCTGCGAAAGAGGTGCGGGGAGCCGGCTGCACAGGTGGTGGTGGGTGTGGCGAAGCATGACGAGGAGGAGAAAGCCTTGGGGGCCATCTGTCCCAGGTCCTCAGCCGCAGAGTAGTCCGGGCGGCACATGGCACGCAACTTGCACAGGGACGAGCCAGGCCCACAGTAGGGGTCCTCGAAGTCACGGTCTTTCTGCGCACGGTAGGCACGGAGCAGGTCACTAGTATCGTCGCGCAAGTGGTGGTGTAGAAAGCCGGGTGAGGTGTGGTGGTGAAGGTAGAGATGCGGCAGCCCGTCAGGGCGGGGCGTGCTGCCGGCACCGTTGCGTTTCTCTCGGTAGTCGGGCCGTGGAGGCTGCGGGGGACTCTTGGTCTTGTTATTGCCCAGGCTGAAGTACTTATTTAGCCATTTGGCCATCCTCTCTCCTGGTTGCGGCCTCTCAGCGCCAGCCCCG